TTTAGAAACTATTAATTATTATTATTATTATTATTATTATTATTATTATTATTATTATTATTATTTAATACTTAAATTGTAAAAAGTACATCGCACACTCATTCTTGGCACAGTAAGATTTTAATTTTATAAATTGATAGTAGTAGCCCATTTAACAACCCCCTTGGTTAAAATATATAATATAAAAATGTCAATGGTATTATTCTGGATTACAGTTTAAAAATTGTTTCATAAACAGATGCAGTTGAATCTCCACTTTGCAGTGCTCCATATTATTCTAATCAAACGATTATTGGTAAGAGATATTTGATGATATTTATTAACTAATGGCAAATATCCTCAAAATTTATTAGATTATCACTCCCACCCTCATCAAAAATTCGAGATGCGGGAGTAAAAGAAAAAAAAATTGCCGCATCAATTATTTTAACAGCATAAAAATAACAATGCAATTTTATGACTTCAAATATATTTTCTTTTAAAAACTATAAAATTAAACCAGTTTTTATACAATATTTACTATTACTAGCTAAATATAAACAGTCCCTCAAAAAAACAAGAGCAAAATAATATATTGTTCCGATAAAAAAAAAAAAAACGCCCTTCCTTATCAATTTTTTATTTTTAAAGAGTGATAATCTAATAATTTTTTCTATGTACCCTTAATAACCTTATTTCAGGTTCAGTTTAGAATAGTATTGGCTAATATTAGTAATTATTTTATTTATTATTTATAGCCATCTTCATGAAAAAGTACTGTAGTCACTTATAACAATTTGTTAACGATTTATTGCCATCTAATGTTAAAATTAAACAGAAAACAAAAATAAAATAATTATAATAATAATCATACTTCAGAAGCCTTACACTAAAATTGTTTCATGCTTTTTTATGTGTACTGGTTGTTTTCTGGACTTGGTTAATGCTTGTTCCACCCTGCCTAACATGTCAATAATTTTTTTCAGTATATTGTATCTGTATTATAAGGCAGCAAAATTGAATAAAGAAAAGAAAGTAATTAATTTTTTTTTTAATTGTTATTACTATTACTATAGGGCTTGAAGAGTGGTATGCAAATGATGATGATGAAGAAATACAATCAAGTCTAAATAATGATGTGGACTACAGTACTGGTAAGTTTTGTTCATTATAGTAATATATTAATTCTTATTACTTTGTTCATTTCTGGTGTTGTTTATTTTTTTTTTAAAAAGAATTATTTAGATTAGTTGTCTTTCTGTTAAGGTGCTGTTAATGATGAAGGAGAAGACAGTGATGTAATATTGGAAGTCCAGGAAATTCCGGATGAACCCTTTGAGATTGACCAAACATCTAAAGCCGTGGATGTACCTATGCCGGATACACCATCTACCAATGTTCTACCTAAAGGTTTTATTAACTATTTTGATATGTACTGTATTTTTAAAATTATGAAATAATGTGAAATCAAATTAAGTTTGACCTACATATTATCACAGTAAATTGGGACCAGTAGTTAACAAAAAGTGAACAATGAACTGTCCTGTAATATATAGTAGTTATTAATAAATATTGGATATGTAGAACTTGGGGACATAATGCACATTATATAAATGAACTGTAAAAAATGTTAATCCAACTCCTAAAAAGTTATAATATAGATCATTTAATTTGATTTTAATATAATAAAATAAACAGCATTAAAAATTCATATTCACTTGCCACTTAGTTTAAAGCCACTCTAAAACCTAAGGATAACATTTTTTTTTCGCTCAAAGAGTATGTTAAATTGGTCGATTGTGTTTCAGGACGAAAACGACGACTGCCATCATCCACTCTGGGATCTAAAAGGGATAGGACCGTTAATGCCTTGGCAAAAAAAATAAAAGAAACTAGTGATGCCAACTGGAGCAGAATGTCATCAATGTTGGAAAGAATGCGAAAGGAAGACCAAAAAGAAAGAGAAGAAATGACAACTCTGATGAATACACTAACATCAGTACTGGAAAGGGGGAATAAAGACCGTCAGGAGGAAAGGCAAGCAATGAGGGAGGAAAGGCTAGAGGAACGGCGTGCAAAAGATGCAAACATGGCCAGTCTCCTTTCATTCATGCAAGCACAACAATTTAATCCAGCAACATATTATTACAACAATCATCAGTTTAATTGATTAACATGAAAATCTAAACCGTAAAACTTCTAATAATAACCCATTACTCTAAAATATTAACCCACCATATAAGTTAATCTACAATAATAATCCACTTCTGTAATTACTAGTTAAAGGGCACATAGAAACAAATTATTATATCCATTGGCATTACATTTACAGTATTTTTTTTTTTTTAATCGATGAGGGAGGATGTTTTTTTTTTAATTAGCAGTTTTACGGTAACTAAACTATATAATTATAATACATTGTTAAAAAGGTTGTTTTATATATAAAAAGTAATTAAATGTAGTACAGTTTGTACAGCATGTTTTTTGTAAATAATTGATGATTAATACTTACCTAGTATTCCTAGTAGTAGTAGGCCATTGCCTATCCAACCTTTAATATTTAATTGATGCAAAACTAGTCGTTTTCAATGCATGAGTTGATATAGATAATCCTACCAGTGTCGTAATTAATTTACCAAAACCTTTCATAAATATTTAACTTGAAATTCCAACAGTAGTAATATGTAGTAAAGTCTTAATTATTCTAGTAATGTAGTAGACTAAGTAGTAAAGCTAGTTTACAGTAAAGTAGTTTACTCATTCTGACTCCCTCGTGTAAAATGAAGTTCAGTACATACAGTAAACGATGTATTTGGCGCTTAATAAGTTATAACATTTTTAGTTTTAATTGCTTATGTTTTGTAAACAGCTAGATCGATTCAATAATAGTGATTAATTGTAATGTATGAATAATTTAAATCTCTGTAGTTTAAAAAAATTAACGTAATTGTTTGGAGAATATTTATGTGTTAAATAAAAATACAGTACACAAACAATTCAAATTGACTCTTGTTCAATTATGTTGATTTCAAAAGTAATCAGTTTTATTTAAAACCTCATCAAATAATGGAAGATACTAAAGTTATACAGCCAACTGCTGACTGTTAAAACGTTTTCAACGGTTGTCAGAAAAAAGATCGGAACGGAACGAGTTACACAGTACAACAACGAAGCGGCTTTCGGGCATCATTAATTTCATCACTTTCTTTATATAATTACTGAATTGGAAATAATTGATTAAGGTACTGATATTTACAACTTCAATTTTTTTCTTTTAGTTTGTCATCAATATTGAGAAAGGAAAACTTTATTAACTTGCCATTCGTTTTGGATTGCAACTCAACTAATATCAACTATTTTATTACTAATACTAGATACTAATAATACTATTACTAGGCTAGGCCTATTGACGAGTGTTTAGATGCATTACAAGTGATTCTCTAATAGTTTTGGCGGATTCTGTGGGAGGCTGCCTGCACACAGTTTCTGTTGAACTATCAAGTTCAACCCCTTCATTCCAAGATGGATTGTAAAACGAATTACTAATTTCACAAATGTTGTGCAAGGTACAGCATGTCTGTACTATGGGTCTAATGTTGTCTAATTCGTGTTCGTTTTCTTTCAACAAAATCCTCCATCTCCCTTTCAGTCTCCCGAAGGCCTTTTCCACGGTCATTCTTGTGGCAGAATGTTTGTAATTAAACATTCTCTCTGATCTGTTGAGACACCCTCTCCCAATGAACGGTCTAATAAGATTTGGCAATAAAGGATAGGCTGCGTCCCCTAAAATCAATAAAGGCACAGCGCTACCCTCAATTTCAACAACGTTATTCGGTGTAAATAAGGTGTGTTCTTGTAACTTTTTGCTTAGCGCAGACAGATTGAACACTCTGGCATCATGAACACTGCCAGGCATGCCGACAAAGGTGTTCATAAATTTGCCGTCTGCGTCAACTAGAGCTTGAAGTACTACGGAAAAAGACCATTTGCGGTTGAAATAATCCTGGGCGTCTTTTTGTGGTGCAAATATCTTAATGTGGGTACCATCAATAGCTCCCGCAACTTGTGGAAAACCCTTCTTCATTTTAAACTTATCCACATTGTCCTGCTAAAAAACCAGATGGTAACATTGCGTTAGGTATTGCTTATGCTGTGTGTGAAAAAAGTACCTGGACAAGCTACGGTTTCTTTATGTTTTGAAAGTATACGTGATGCTAAAAAATTCATATTTCGCGCGTTTACTTACGCTACCGATCCGTTAATCACGCAGTGTGAACATCTCGCTAGTTACGCCATGGATTAACGCACGCCCGGCGTTAGATACGCCTGGCGTATCTCACAGGTCTGAACGTAGCCAACGCCGGGCGTATCTAACGCCGGGCGTACGTTAATCCATGGCGTAACTAGCGAGATGTCCAGACTGGGCGATTATTGAACGATAACGTAAGTATTCGCGCGAAATATTCGTATTCGTAATTCGCGCATTTTAATTTCTGTTTACATCTAAGTTTATTTTGATTGGTCAAATCTTGGCTGAGTTCAAATCACCGATGCTTGACTGTCGTAAATCAGTGGCGTACGCTAATCTGGGGTCTGTTGCTGGATTACCGTACGCCAGTGATTGCGCGATAATACTGGCGTTTGCTACGCCGCGCACAAGTTCACACCACTCGATTAACGTTACGCTAGCGTAAGTCGTTGTGTCTGAACATAGCCAAAGCCTGCCGAGCATTTGGTGGCGGGGAATACATTAGACTTCAAAGGCATCGCGCAAACGTTCTTCACGCGATGGAGGTATTATTGAAAGGAGCACGCAGATATGCAAATGAGCCAAGTACAAAGCTGCCACAGCGAGAGATCGTTTAGGCGAAGAGATTATGGCCAAAAAGTCCTCTAAAAATCGTCGAAGTGGCAATGGAAGTACAACCGGCTAATTTTGATAATTTTTTTTTTTTCAAAATTACCCAGAATCCCTTTGGGGGAACACCTTTAAAAGACGCATTCAAAATGGCCGCCCTTTTTTCACTTTAAATCAAGATATTATTTTAATTCAGGTTAAAATGACTCAAAAACAAAAGTTCAATTATACCTGAAATTTACTCCTAACATTCATTGATGATAGTAAATGAATAATGTCATTCAAAAATGTATAGTTTCAATCACCATAGCAACCGTTGCTATGCATATTTAAAATCACAGGTTTTTTTCAATACAATTTAAGTGAAACAACCGATAAAAGTTTATATATATTATTATATAGTTTTTGTAAATATTTTTTATATTATCTATAAATGCCATATATTATGGTTATGTATATATGAATTTTGAAAACAAACCGAAATTTTAATGCAAAGTGATTATTTTCACCATAGCAACAAAGAAAAACAATACCAGAATTGTAGAAAAAATGCAGAACTGTAATTTATTATAATTTTTCTTTTTAAAAATATATTCAGATCATAATTATAAAGAAAATATTATTTTAATGGATTAGTAGGCATTATAAGATACAAAATATGAGGTTATCGCTATAGCAACCAATGACACATTAGGCGTGTTCACTGATTGGCTGAAAGATTTGAAGCACATGCAAGGCCGGCATGAAGGTTTCACAAGCAGTAGGCCTAGATTATTAGGCCTACAAACGAGGTTAGTCTCTTTGTTTTTCCCATTTGTTTGTTGTATTTATATGTAGACAACATACAGATATAATTCAAGAAGTTAATATGCTAAAGTTACAATATTAATTTAGAATTTAAAGCCAGATTCTATGTGATATTCTGGGCTTCTTTATTGCAAATTTTCTAGGCTATGTTTATGCTCTGGTAGGCGTATGCCTAGGCCATGCCTAGTGGGGCAATCCTTAGTTATGCCCAGTAGGTTTTAGGCCTACGCTGGATTTGTAGCTATGACAAACATGTTTACATAGCTTAGATATATAATTTAATCATGTCTGGAAATATAAATTACAATCAGAATAATCGTAATCTAATCCGTTAGGAAAGAAAAGTGACTTAAAAAATGTAAAAATATGCAATTAATAATCAAAAGTATTATGTAGGTCTTTACACAATTTTTTTTTCCAACAGAAACCTTTTCAGAAACGTACAGAATGGTACAGAACACCTGGCTTTAAAAATAGCTAAATTTATACAATGGAGGTTTGTAATACATATTTTACAAAATGAAACATACAGTTTTGTTGCATGAAGTGCCTAATGTTGGCTTGAATAGATAATATTGTTTACACAATTAATATATATATATTAATTAAAATCCCATCTTTTTTAATTGTTATTTGGCAGAAATTTGATTGAACATCAATAGAACTAAAGACATTTAGAGGGATGTGTAACATTTTCATATCTGATCCATATAATAAATTAATATAATTAAGGTGAGTGTTAGGTTTCGGTAAGATAATAATAAGAAATATAACTATTTAATTACTGTTATTTCATGTATTGTAGATTTTAAAATTTGTCAAATAAATAATAATAAAAAGGCCCAGTCGAAATTTGAACTTTGGATTGCAAAGGTAAAATATTAATAATTCCATCTTTGAATACATTAGGCCTACATGTTATTTGGTAGACAAACTGATACAGACATGAGAACTGAAAGCCTTGAGAGGGATGTTTACCATTTGCAGAGGTAATAAATTCATTAATACAGTTGAGGTTAGCATATTTAATTATATTTTTATAAATAAAGTTAATTGTTTTATTCGATGTATTTTAGATCATAAAAACAATACGGAAAATTATAAAGGCCTTTTTCATCACATATTATGTACTTCTCTACACAATAATTTATTAATCATTAAAAATACTATAAATAATATAGTTATAAACATTAAAATATAATATATTTATTCTGTTAAGAACAAATTGAGCATTACAAAATATGTGGCAGACAAGACAAGCCAAACTAGTCACTTGTCGCAAAAATCGATGTTGAATTATTAATAAAGTGTAAAATAGGAGCTATAAAATGGTAAAAAAATCATTCAAATCTGAATCCTTATGAAGTTACAAGCATTTAAACATACAACGGTTTAAAGAACAATATATGAGAAATCAGCCTTCAAAGTTTATGATTTCAGGCATTTCTCATGCAGAAACTATTACAAAATCCTTAAAAAGTGTTGTTTTAACATTGTAATTGGGAAAAATAACAGCACAGCATGATGTATAGATACATAAACCTTAGTTTAGTGAAATAAAATAGATTTTTTAAAATTTTACATTCTAGCATGTTTTTGCTATTTTCTCTGAAACACAATTTGCGACGAGTGACTGGTTTAGCTTGTCTTTGCCACATATTTTATTTGGCAGATATCTACTTGAAAATGGAAAGGTCTTCGATACTAAAAAGCCTTGGCCGAGATGTATGTCTAATTTGCAGAGGTTCAAGGGGACCGCTATCAGCTAGAGAACTTGAATATAAAATCACACTGCCTTTCTGCCAAAGAGGCTGCAGAGATTTATTCAGTGTCTATGTGATAAAACGGCTTTTAATTCATCAGATATTGATCATGTTTCTTCGGAAGATGTTAAACGACGGTATATTTCATTTGCTGAATGTATTGTACACTGTTCTCGCCGTGGAAAATCTCAAGTCATCCTACCGTTTCATATTGGTCTTATGACTCAACTACAGCATGAATATGGAAGTAGAAACCTAATAGACACTCTTAATGCATATGGAATGTGTGCGAGTTATGAAGAATTGAGGAATTTTCAAACAGTAGCTGCTGAGGCGCAAATTTCTAGAGCAAATGATGATGTTTATGTACCACCAGGGATTGTCAACAGGCAAGAAGGAGGTAGTTTGATACAGGAGGGCGATGACAACGTTGATATAAATGGGGAGACGATCGATGGTAAAAACACATATCATTCAATGGCAAGAGTCATATTCCAAGACCAGGATCTAAGGCACAAGCAGCCTCTCATCCATCAACTTAAACGGTCGACACATAAAACACCTAAATGCAATGATACCACATTTTTAGGACATTACCATTTGAAAAGCCAAAGGTTCGACCAGAACCATCCCGTCTTCCTATGGGAACAAATGTCGTCACTCGGTATGAGAAAAAGCTTTTACCATTTCATTGTACGAAAGACATTGTATGGACTTTGCTGCGCCAAGTATCACGAGGAGTGTATCATGTACCACAAAGTGTGCACTATTCTCACGATCAAGTCATTTCCTCCTGGAAGGTTTCAATTCTATTGTCTTTTCAAGAAATATGGAAAGTGTTTCATTTATTGCATATCCTCCGATTATAGAAGCACCTCCATCTGATATGAGCACTGTATACACCACACTCAAACGAGGTAAGGACTTGGTGGAAAAGTGTGGCCAGCTTTGTCATGTGCATACATTTGATCAACAACTATATGCCATTGCACAAATGGTCTGATTAAGTCATCAACATGAATTTCCCAACCTTATTGTATGACTTGGTGGATTCCATACGATGGCAACCTTTATTGCTTTCATTGGAAACATTTGGGGAGATGCTGGTTTGAGAGACTTACTGGCAGATTCTAATGTGTATGCCCCAGCAAGTGTCGAGATGATGCTATCTGGAAAACAATTTCATAGAGCAATTAGAGGATTGACATTAATTTTTGAGGCTCTAATTCAACAGCTAATTGGTAATTTTCTGATGTGGGTAGAAGAACACCACACATTCAAAGAACTGGAAGAGACAATAACTAATCTGTGCAATGTACAAGAGAAGTTTGTAACAAAGAAGGACATGGACTGATCTTACAATTACAATGGAACAAAAACTACTTCCACTTTTGAAAGAATTTGTAGCGTTGGGTAGACAAGCATCACCAACTTTTTCATTCTGAGATGATTTCCTAATTGCAATGCAAATAGTTCTCTCTAACATCAGAGCTGAAAGAGGTGATTGGAAATTACATTTATCTAACATTTTTAGCATGCTGCCGTACTTCTTTGTAGCAGACCGACCTAATTATGCACGTTGGGGCAAACTATATGCTGTGGAAATGGTCCATTTTCTTCCCGAGTCAGTGTCTGAAGCCTGAAGTGGAATCAACCATAATCAAAGACAG